TATACTGTATAATTCCTATATACTATATGACATTCTGGAAAAGGCAAAACTATGGAGACAGAAAAAAATGCCAGTGGTTGCCAGGGGTTGTGGGAGTAGGGATGAATAGGTAGAGAACAGGAAGTTTTGTAGGGCTGTGAAACTACTCAATATAATATCATAATAGTGGATACATGACATCATGCATTTGGGAAAAAACCCTGTAGAACTGTACAACACAAAGAGTGAAACTTAATGTCAACTGTGGACTTTAGTTCATAATAATGTTTCAAAATTGGCTCATTAATTTTAATAAATGTACCACACCCATGTAAGATGTTAATAGTATAGAGGAAACTGTGAAAGGGGGACTATGTGGGAACTCTATACTTCCTGTTAAATTTTTCTGTAAACCTAAAGCTGCTCCAACTATTTATAAATCATCATCATACCGGCTACATGAGGAAATAAGATAACATCGAAAATCAAGAGAAATAACAACCAATATAAACAGACTCCCCATAGGGAATCTGGGAAATGGAATTATCAGATGCATACTTTAAAATTATATGCTTAGAAAACAACAGAAAAAGCTTGACAATTCCTCCAGAAAACAAAACTGTTAAATAAATGGCAGGTTTACAACTAATACACAATAATTGAATTATGAACTTAGTGGATAGATTTAACTGCGAACATCATCATCATCATCATCATCATCATCTTCAAGGTATTACCAGAAATCAGTGAAACAAAATATATAATAGAGAAAATTAAAAATGCCAAGAGCTGATTTAAAAAAAAAAAGATTGGTAAAATTGATAGAGCCTTAGATTCATTTTTTCCTAACTGCTCACAAAATAGGTAGGTATGCAGGTAAACACAGATGCACAATACGATGAATGGAGAAGGGGTATCACTATATTTCTTTTTCTTTTTTTTTTTTAAGATTGTATTTTTAAGTAATCTGTACACTCAACGACGTGGGGCTTAAATTTACAACCCTGAGATCAAGAGTTGCATGCTCTACTGACTAAGCCAGGCAGGGCAGCCCCTCTTATAGATAGTAAAACAACAAGAATATTTTAAAAATACCTGTGCAGTTTAGATGAAGTGAACAAATTCTTTGAAGAACATCTTAACAAAACCAATATAGGAAGAATTAGGTAATCTGAATAGTCCAGTATCTGTTAAGAAAATGGAATCCTTGGGGTGCTTGGGTGGCTCAGTTGGTTAAGCGTCCAACTTTGGCTCAGGTCATGATCTCACTACTCATGAGTTCAAGTCCTGCATCGGCCTCTGTGCTGACAGCTCAGAGCCTGGAGCCTGCTTCAGATTCTGTGTCTCCCTCTCTATGCCCCTCCCCTGCTCATGTTCTCTCTCTCTCTCTCTCTCTCTCTCTCTCTCTCTCTCTCTCTCTCCCTGTCTCTCAAATATAAAATAAAACATTAAAAAAAGAAAGAAAGAAAGAAAATGGAATCCTTAATTTAAAACCTCTGCAGGGAAAATGCCTGGCTCATTTGGCTTCACTGATAAATTCTTCCACATACTAAAGGAAGAAATATTACCATTCTTAACACAAACTTTCCCAGAAAATAGAAAAGAAAGGAAAACATCCCCACTTGTTTTATAAGGTTAGAGCCCAACATAGCCATTATAAAAAAAGAGATACCATAAACAAATATACAAGTCTTAAATATTAACAAACTGAATCCCATGATGTATAAAAATTGTAATATATCATGAAATGTAAGTAAGGTTTATTCTAGGAATGTAAGGTAGCTTAATATTCAAAATTGATTACTATAAGTCAACACTGTAATGGAACAAAAAAAAAACTATTGTGATCTTAACAGACACATAAAAATAATTTGACAAAATTTAACACCCTTTCATGATAAACTCATTAAAATAGGAATAGAAGGGATTTTTGTACCTATAAAAGTCCTACATCTAACATCATACTTATTGATTAAATATTTAATGCTTCCCTCCACCCATCCAAGTTCAGGAACAAAGCAAGTGTGTTCATTATCACCATTTTTTTTTTTTTTTAACATTTTATTGGAGGTGCTGGCTAGTATAATAAGACAAGGAAAGGAAATAAAAGATTTATAAAGATTGGAAAGGAGGAAGTAAAATTGTTATTCACAGATGACATAATTGTGTATGAATAAAAATACAAATCTATCAACCTGTTAATATGTACAATTTAAAAATTGCTGGAAAAAAGGTCAAGTAACAGTTATTTTTTTTGGTTATCCTATTATTTCTAGCAATTCTATGAATAATAACTAAATTTACTCATGTGAATCCATTTTGCTATGCTTGCCTTCTTAGGCTATTACAACGTTTAACAACCTTTTTTTTTGAAGTATAATTGACATATACATGTCAACTTCAGCTGGACAACATAATGATTTGATGTTTTTATCTATTGTGGAATGATCACAATAAATGAGTCTAGTTAATATCCATCGCCATACATGTTAAAAAAAAAAGCCCTTTTTTTCCCTCATGATGAGATCTTTTAAGATTTACTCTTTTAGCAACTTCCAAATACACAACACAGTATAGTTACCATGCTGTACATTACATCCCTGGAACTTTATAACTAAAGGTTTTATCTCCTGACTTCCTTCACCCATTTTGTCCACCCCTTGTGTCCTGCCTTTGGCAACCACCAATTTTTTTTTCTTTTTTCTTTTGTTATTTGTTTTAACATTTATTTATTTTTGAGAGACAGAGTGAGACAGAGCATGAGTGGGGGAAGGGCAGAGAGAGAGGGTTACACAGAATCCAAAGCAGGTTCCAGGCTCTGAGCTGTCAGCACAGAGCCTGACGCAGGGCTTGAACTCATGGACCCCGAGATCATGACCTGAGCTGAAGTTGGCCGCTCAACTGACTGAGCCACACAGGTGCCCCTCAAGTTCTTCTTTATGTCTTTGAGCTTGTTCATTTGCTTGTGTGTTTGTTTAGATTCTCCATATAAGTGAGGTTATACAGCATTTTTTCTTTCTCTGCTTGCCATTATGCCTTTAAGGTCCATCCATACTGTCACAGATAACAAGATTTCTTTTTTATGACTGAATCATATTCCATTGTGTATAAGTTGCTAGGTCCTATGGTAGTTCTATTTTTAATTTTTTGAGGAATCACCCTACTATTTTCCATAGTGGCTGTATCATATATTGCTGGTGGGCATGTAATTAATAGAACCACTTTAGAAAACTGGCAGTATTAGGGTACCTGGGTGACTCAGTCAGTTAAGTGTCTGACTTCGGCTCAGGTCATGATCTCACGGTCCGTGAGTTCGAGCTCTGCGATGGGCTCTGTGCTGACAGCTTGGAGCCTGGAGCCTGCTTTGGATTCTCTGTCTCCCTCTCTCTCTCAGACCCTCCCCTGCTCATGCTCTGTCTCTCTCTGTCTCAAAAATAAATAAACATTAAAAAAATTTAAAAACAACAACAACAACTAGCAGTATTTACTAAAGCTGTGACTCACTCCTGAGTATATACTCAAGAGAAATGAGTACATATATCCACCAAAAACATGTTTAGGAATGTTCATAGAAACTTTATTCAGATTAAATTAAAATTAAAACAACTCTAATTTTCATCAAAAGAGAATGGATAAGTTGTATATTTATAATATGGATGACAACATAACAATGGAAAATAACTGTGCCATACAATACAATGGCTTAGTCAATTAGACAACATATTGAACAAACAAACCCATATACAGAAGAGTATATAGTATGATTGCTTTTTTTTTTTTTTTTTTGATATGGGTAGATTGGTGGATAACAGAGTCCTAAACTACCTGTAAACATATAAGTATATACTTATGTTAAGGACGGAAGAGTAGTTCCTTTGCCAGGGTAGAAAGTGGGAGGCAGGAGGCAACCTTTTAGGGTGCTGGAGGATGGCAAGCAATGGGAAGCATGAGAAAGAATGCCCAGTGCAGTATTATTTCTCAACTGGAAATAACTCAGATGGCCCTCAGTGGTAGACTGGGTAGATATATTAAACTATGTGATATTCGTAAGTACAATACAACATGTGGCAATGAACTATTCCTGTAAGCAATAACATGAGTAAATCTCACAATCTGAGTGAAAGAAAAGCCATTTGTAAAACAGTTGAAAAAGACTATGATTCTGTTCAGATGAAGTTCAAAAATGGCAAAATTAGCTTTTGAAGTAAATTGGTTACCTTTTCAGAGGACAGAAGGGAATAGAGATTGAAAGGAGGAAGGGTAGGGGCACTTGTGGTATGGCCATGCTCTTGACCTATGAGGTAACAGTATCAGCATTTGCTTTGTGGTTTCGCATTTTGCTCTATATTTACATTCTGTGCATACCTGAAAGGTCTTATAGCTACTAAGTGAGTTGCAACATTTATATGTATTTTCCTGTAAAAAAAAAAAATAGCCTCTTGACAAAAATGAAAAAATAATTTTTTAATATACTACTTTTGCATTATACACTGATTTTTCCATATTAGAAAATTTTCCCTATGTAAAGTTTAAGTTTTTTTCTTTTTAATATTTAAAAAGGCATATTTTCAAACTGAGACGCATCCATAATCTAAGCTTTCTGATCTTTTGCTGCTTTGGTAGCAATTTATCAATGGTAAGCATGCTTTTAATTTTTAATTTTTAGTTCTTTTTAAAAACACATATCTTTGGGGAAAATAAAGAACTCGTGATTCCTTATCAGGAGACAGGCAAGCTCATTAGTAAAATTTGACTCCTTCCTTTTTTAGATACTTTATTTGCAGCAGTTTAGTTATTGATTCGCATTTTCTGGTTAGGCATTCATATTTGTACATCTGAAGCTTATTATCTTTGCAATTTTCAATGAGAATCCTATCTATTAATCTTTTTTCTTCTAGTATTCACTGAAAATACTTATCTCTAAGTAAAATTTCTTGTTGAGTAAAACATTCTCTCTATATTTTGTTCAAATAGGAGATTTTGTATTAATGTACTTGTCCATATTGTTTCTTTTTTTCTAGAGAAAATCCCTTCATGAAAACAAATTGAAGAGACTGCAGGAGAAAGTAGAAATCTTAGAGGCAAAGAGAGAAGAATTAGAAACAGAAAACCAGGTGTTAAATAGGTACTGTGTTTGTATAAATACATATCCCATGTAGTGACTTTAATATTATAGAGCTTTGATTCTGAGTATAATGCACTTTGTTTTCTTTCAAACTATATGTCTAGGGGTGCCCAGGTGGCTCAGTTGGTTAAGCATCCGACTCTTGTTTTGTTTTTTTTTTTTTTTTTGAACATGTAACTAATTGTCATTTTATTTGCAATTCCCTAGAGTAACAATGTTGGGCTTTTTTTTTTTTTAATGATTAAGTTAGCTAATATGCAGTGTGTATACAGTGTAGTCTTCTTGGCTTTGGGAGTAGATTCCCATGATTCATCACTTACATACAACACCCAGTGCTCATCCTAACAAGTACCCTCCTCAATGCCCATCTTCCATTTTCCTTGGCCTCCCCCTCTCAACTCCCCACCCCCATCAACCCTCAGTTTGTTTGTTCTCTGTATTTAAGAAACTCTTATGGTTTGCCTCCCTCTCTGTTTGTAACTTATTTTTCCTTCCCTTCCCCTATGGTGTTAAGTTTCTAAAATTCCACATATGAGTGAAAACATAGGATGTATGTCTTTCTCTGACTGACTTATTACACTTAGCATAATACCTTCCAGTTCCATCCATGTTGTTGCAAGTGGCAAGATTTCATTATATTTCATCACCGAGTAGTATTCCATTATATATACATATCATGTGTTCTTTATCCATTCATCAGTTGATGGACATTTGAGCTCTTTCCATAATTCGGCTATTGTTGAAAGTGCTGCTGTAAACACTAGGGTACATGTGCACGTATGAATCAGCAGTCCTTTATCCTTTGTATAAATTCTTAGTAGTGCTATTGCTGGGTCGTTAGGGTAATGCTATTTTTAATCTTTTGAGGAACCTCCACACTATTTTCTAGAGCGGCTGTACCAGATTGCATTCCCACCAATAGTGCAAGAGGGTTACCCTCTTGGTTTTGGCTCAGGTCATGATTTCATGGTTCGTGAGTTCAAGCCTCTCATCGGGCTCCATGCTGACAGCACACAGGGCCTAATTGGGATTCTCTCTCCCTCTCTCTCTGCCTTTACCCTGCTAACATACACTCTCTCTCTCTCTCTCTAAATAAAGAAAATATATATGTTTAAAAGAATTCTTTTTCTTTTTTAATGTTTATTCTTGAGAGAGAGAGAGAGAGAGGGAGACAGACATAGAATGAGTAGGGGAGGGGCAGAGCGAGAGAGGGACACAGAATCTGAAGCAGGCTCTGTGTTCTGAGCTGTCAGCACAGAGCCTGATGCAGAGCTTGAACCCACAAGCCGTGAGATCATGACCTGAGCTGAAGTCGGGTGCTTAACCGAGCCACTCAGGCTCCCCACATTTAAAAGAATTCTAAAACTTTTTGTTATATTCCTAGTTCATTATCCTTGTTATTCATTTATTTATTTTTTTCTGGCTGAATATCCCTTCAAACCAAAACACATGCCAGGCATTTTGTTATGGTTGGGACTCATAGGAAAGGTCACTGGCTTTGGTAGCCAGGAGTGGTGTGAGTTCTTAATACTGAAACGAGATAGTTGCAACATTGCATAGTTCCCAAATGTGGCTAGAACTGTGAATCAAGATTTTTGATTTCTTGGTGTGAAAACATATTGAGCCTAAATTCTGGATTTTCATTTACGTTACAAACATAGCTAATAATCTGCATAATTAGCGTTTTTTAAACAGAGACAATTTACCTTATTGACTCAGTAGTAGTGGCATTGTAGGGCCTATTTGAAGTTAATAAAAACTTTTTGGGGTGCCTGGGTGGCTCAGTCGGTTAAGTGTCTGACTCTTGGTTTTGGCTCAGGTCATGATCTCACAGTTTGTGGGATTGAGCCCTGTGTTGGGCTCTGCACCAACAGTGCCTAACGTGCTTGGGATTCTCTCTCTTCCTCCCTCTGTCTCTCTCCCAAAATAAGTAAATAAACTTTAAAAATAAATAAATAAATAAATAAATAAATAAATAAATAAATAAATAAATATAAATTTTACAAGTTCAGCTAATTTTAGTGGTAGCCTTTCAGCATTTAGAAAGTGTCAGACTTTTCTGTAATGGAAATTGGCTGTTGATGTTTTATAATGTGCACTGGACATTCTTGAGTGTAATTATTACCAAATGGGAACAGTTGTTTTTTTAGAACACCTGAAGTTTATAGACTGTGGAGTTCATGCCAATTTCATAATACTGTGTTCCAAAGTAAGAAGCCACCAAATTCATTCTAAAACAAAATTCAATTTGCTACGTCTTCTATAACCATTAATTTTGAAATATTATCAATTCAAGATTGGGTGAGTATGGCACAGATCATCTAGACTTTTGAGTGGTTTTGAAGACTATATTTTATTACTGATGTGGTTGATGGTCAGAAAATTCATGTCCAAAAAGGTGATGATATGTAAAGGCCTGAAAAGTTACCTTTTTTATCCAAATAGTTTTCCCTAAAGTGGGTAGCTTCATCCCTGTCATTAGCAACGGTTTTAAAAATTAGGTTGAACAATATGAAATTTCATATATTTGACCATATTTTACCTATAAAAACAGCAATGTCCTAAGATTCAACGTAGTATTTTCTCTATTCCTATTTGATTCCTTCTGTAAAATAAGGCACACTTTCAGGATTCATGGGTTGGGGGAGTGGAGTGCAAGTGAAAGTAAAAGTATCAAAAGATTTTTAATCTTTGATTAATTGGCAAGTAAAACTTTAAAATGAATTGATAGCCTGCAATGCCAACAGTTATACATGTGATTAAGATGTCATGTTTCTGTTTACTTTTCTAGATAAATAGAATTTTATGTATGTATTATATACAGATAAATCTTAGAATTTTGAAGTCCTTTTCTTCCAATTTAAAATTATATTCTGTGAATCATCCTGTTTTTCAATACAGTATAACTGTATTAAAGAACAGAAACACTTTCTTTCTTTTTTAAGACAAAATGTTCCATTTGAAGAATATACAAGGCTTCAAAAAAGACTAAAGGACATACAGAGAAGACATAATGAATTTCGAAGTTTAATTTTGGTTCCTAACATACCTCCAACAGCATCCATCAATCCTTTTAGTGTTCAGTCATCAGCCATGGTTCCAGGCATGGACTTGTCGTTTCCTCCTCATATGCAGGTATGAGCATTTATGTTACAGAAAAAAAGTCACTAACATTTCTGTTAATTTTTACCTGTTTAAATTCAGAGTTAAACATTCATATCTTTCTTTACCATAGAAATTAGTGGGAGAAACAAAGTGGATTTGAATCTATTCTATCCTTTAGTGATGTTGCTAGAAGTGAAATCTACTGGGCAACTGAAAAGAAAAAACTTAATCCAAGGGTCTTTGACTCACTCAACTACTACTAAGCATTTACTAATACTCCGCACTATGCATTTTCCATATGATATTTTATTTAATCCTAATGGAAAATACTTTGAGGGAAGGGTGTTATGATTCCCAATTTATAGATAAGGAAGCTGAGTCAGAGGGGAAGTGACTTACCTAAGGTCATAGGTAATAAGTGACAGAGTTGACTATCAAATATAAATCTGATTCCAAATTCTGGGCTCGTTCTACTGTATCAGGTCCTTGAGATAGTGAAGGAATCAAATTGATTGGATGGTTTTCAAAAGATGAACTGTTAATAAGTAATTATATTTGATAATATTGTAAGCACCAAAGATTTTAGTCACTGAATTGAATCTCAGACCAAGTGCTTTATTTATAATGAATTGCTATTAAACTCCAGCCTTGTTAGAAAGTAGGCAAGTGAGTATGCCTGGGCCCTGAATTGGTATTCTTCTAATTTACTCCCTGGTGAGTTTTACACCTAGATAGGAGAACAGACTTTGTGTTTTGCTTAAGGCTAGAGCCTGAGGTGGGAGAGAAACAAGGACTAGTTAGTAGTCTAGCCCATACTGCTGTGTTCTTAGATTGCTGAAATGGTTATCCTTTCCTTGCCAGATCTTCTAGGGCCTGAGTAAAAGAGGCACCGAGGCTGTTGCCTAACAGTTCTTTTTCCAGCTATTTTTCTGGTTTTTTTGTTTTGTTTTGTTTGTTTTTCATTTTTGGTGCTTTTAAGGAGGAACAGCATCAAAGGGAACTCTCTCTACTTCGCAAAAGACTAGAAGAACTAGAAACAACACAAAGGAAGCAACTAGAGGAACTTGGATCTCCTGGGGAATGATGTTCATGGAAAAAAGATCAAAAGGGATGAAATCACTGTGACTCAATAAAGCTTGAAGTTTTAACGTATGTGGCATTTAGATACTGTATTCCTGTTTGCCAGAACATTTGTGCCTCAAGAAAAGGTACCAGCTACATGATACATTGCATCAGTGTCAGGACTTTAGGATTATACCCAGGATAAGTGAAACATTAAAACCCCTTCAGAGATGTTTATTGACAACTCTTTTGAGAATGTTAGAAAAGAAAAAAAAAATTAGAGAATCAAGTTGTTAAATTATTTTATTAATTTCACTTGTTGAATTTTTTTTTTTTTTTTGGCATTTTACCTGGAATATGCCCATGTTTGATTCCTTCTGCCACTTTGAGATGCTTGGCAGTAACGGGCAGTAAACGTTCTGCAGTTTACCGTATACAAGAGGTCTAAACCTCGTTCTGGAAAAAAAAGAAAAAAGTTTAAAGGCAGCATTAAAAAACAAAACTTCGGGACGCCTTGGTGGCTCTGTCAGTTAAGCGTCCAACTCTTGATTTCAGCTTGGGTCGTGATCTCACTGTTAGTGAGTTCGAGCTCTTCATTGGGCTCTGTAGTAACAGTGTGGAGCCCGCTTGGGATTCTCTCTCTCAAAAAAAAAAAAAAAAAAAGCAAACAAACGTTAAGACGTGTAAATATACAATGCTACCATTCTAAAAGCTGTGTGCATATAATTAAAGAACTTACTAAATATTTTTCTACATTGTCTTTTAATTTTGAGCATACACTCGGTATTTAGCAATGTAGAAAAATCTCAATGTTATTTTCTATTCTAACTGAAAACCACAAAGTACAAATAATTAAATCCTATGATTTAATTTGTTGTGTAAAACAAGGGCCATTCATTGTAAAACTTGAACCCACTGGGGTCCCTTAGCGGTAGTGTTGCCTCCTACTGTTTGGGATCTAACCGAATGATTACAAATGTCTTATCTCTGTGCGTCCCTAACCTCTTTTTAAGGAAGTCTGCTGCAATAACTTCACATCAACAAGGCAAAGCTCAAATCCTCCAAACTAAGTGGAATGTTCATTATCTGGAAGTCTTTAGGATCAAAGGTCCAGGTAGATAGTGGAGGAGCAGTGCCTAATACCATGTCAAAGAAACTGGAGTCAGTTGCTGCATTACAGAACCGCTTATTCACAGACGCAGTGGCACCTTGTTGCTGAAAAGTAATTTCCATGGGGCCACTTAGAATTTAAAAAATCTATTATAACTAGAACATTTGAAGGAAAACAGAAACAGGCCACCTTTACATCAAAATGTTTATTTTTGGATATAGACATTTAAAACATTCATCTCCAAGTACAGCTTCAATCAGGTATACAATAAGAAATAGACTTTAAATCCCTAATACGGAAAAGGTAACAGAATTAATTTTTAAATGCTGCTGTAGACACTAGTGTTAGAAAAAAAAGTTTATAAATGAACTGTTTGCACCAAAAAAATATGCAAAGAAACTTGAAAATAGAAATTGTTTGCCATTTGTTTCTCTGGTTGCTGTTTAATGTAGACCCAGTGACTGATTGTCTTCAGCACACATCTAATTTGGCCATTTACTGTATTTGGCTAATGTGATCCAAGATGTGGTCTAGATCGTGCTTTTCACTGGAGGATTGACAAACACGCTACATACGTTAGTGAATCTTCACACCACCTCAGTGAGGTAGGTTAGAAATATTATACAGAAATTGAGGCACAAAGAGGTAAGTGACTTGCCCAAAGTTCCCAGCAGCATAGCCCCTGGAAGAGGAGGTAAGGCTCCACACGGGACTCTTGTGCCAGAGAGCTGGACAGGGACACCCTCACGTAGCATTTACTAAACACGTAGATAAAGCTGTAGCTGATCCTTTTCATAGCATTTCTGTACCCTAAAGAAGGGGAAGTCTTTTGGGCAACTCTCCTACCCTTGGCTCTCAACTGTCCTCCTGTTACTCTCTTACGAACGCCTTCACATCAAGACTGAGGCAGCCTCACGCGGGGAGCAGACCTCTCACCTTGATACTTGTAAGTAACCTATTTGGTAGTATTTTTGAGGTGTGTCTATTGGACCGACAATGGTCAAAAGTGATGGGATTGGGAAGGTACCTATCAGGGCAGTGACTGCTTATTTGATCGGTTTGTTGAGGTATCACCTCTTACTCTTTGCCAGATATTGAGGAGCAACAAGAATTTCATTTTCAAAGACAAATTCACATTCAACTCCTGATATCCCATACAGTGTTGGTAAATGATTTTAAGGACTATATGATGAGTGTTTTATTTGCTACTTGAAAAAATGTCTTTCCTTAATCTGCGATTTGGAGCACCAAGGGTAAAAGGTGCCACAAGGAAAGTTGAGAGTTGCCAATCACATTTTTTACTTTTAATAGGAAAACACAGTGGTATTAAAATTGGTCATGAGCAGCAAAAATTCAGGAATAAAAAATCAGCAATAAAAAGACTACGGTAGAACTGGACAGGGAGTTCTTTAAAAAGAAAGGCATGAGTAAAATGATATTTTGAATTCTTTCTCTTGTGAGGAATACTTTCAAAAAGTACATAGTAAGACTAAGATACCAAGTTGTATACTAATATTTTTCAGGCCTTGGGCCTCAAATATATATATATTCATATATAATACTCCAGTGTGAACAGCAATTTCATGAAATGTAAAATTTTTTTTGTTTTTTTTTAAATCACACACAAGTATTTATAACCACAGGGTTCACCAGAAATCTAAAGCAAGGAGACACTAAGTACAGAAACGTAGGATTAGGGGAGTGAGTTACTCTTCTACAGATAGTTTTGATCCAAGGTTTTAGACAGAAATAATGTTTGTTTTTTTTTTTTTTTTTTACAATAGCCAACATGTCCACTATCAAATACATTTAGTATGAAAAAATGAAAAAAAAGGGAACATACATCAGGACAAAGTGAGTAAAATGCTGTTGCATTTAAATAAAGCCTCCTCACTCTCCTTGCTTTAGAGCTCCTTAGTGAAACGGAGGTGAGTCTGATGGAGTGCAGTCCATGACCACTGAAAAACACGAGCCCTTTCAACAATGTTGCAACACTGTCAGTTTTTGGTTTAAAAACACACACACACGCTCACGAATGCTAAGTGTACACACTACCAAATTCTGCGGTCAGCTTTTCCAAGAACTACTGGGGAAAGTTTCAATGCTGCAAATCCTCGAGGTTGCCCTAACACCTCCACCTTGTTTCCAAATGACTCAGTTCACATTTCCTTTTGATCATTGGCAGTGTCCCCTTTCTGCAGAGGTGCAGTGTAGTCACAAGTGCTACATAACTGTAGTTTTCAAACAAAACCACTTACATCATTGTGCTTAAGTGGAGACTGTAGTTACAATACTGACACTTGCTTACTGGCCCTGTATTCTCTGTAAACAAGGAGGCTGTTTGCAACAACCACTTCAACTCTATTTACAGAAAGGTTCCTACGGTATATGCACAGGCACAAGGTTGGTATGCTTTCTAAAAGCTGTGCATGTGCCTCCGTCTCTAAAAGACAGTGCTCAAAGTGGAACCTATGTGCAAACTTTAAAAAGTAACGACACAGAGTAGCTCAAGTAGCCATTTTGCTCCCAAGTCGTCTGAAGAATTTTGCCAGATTAAGCCAGTCCCCAGAGTGCTTACATCCACTTGCATTTCTTCTTTTCATCAAATAAGACTTTTACATGCAAGAGTTGTTTCTGAGCTTCTTCCAGCCCTCGTTCTCTTTCTAGTTTATTTAGAATCTGTTGACAATTAGAACAGTTATTTTAGATATTGTGATCTTAGCATTAGATTTCGATTTTTTGGTTTTTTTTTTTTTTTTTTTTTTTTGCATTCCTGATGCCGTGAGTGGTAAAAATCTGTATGAAACAGATGCCAACATTTTCTTCGATCATTTACATACTCACTTTGCAAGTTGTTTTGCTAAGTCATTATCACAGGATCAACAACACTTTGGCTTAAAATAGAAGCTAGCAAGAAATACCAACTATTTGCTTACAAATATGGGGCCAGTTATGTCACAGCCATTCCAAGCACAGCAAGCATTCTGGGCAGCCAACATGCAGGCAAGTATTTCTTCTTAAATGCAGCAGGCAGGGGCATCCTGGTCAGAGTTGAATATTTCCCTCCCCTCCCCTCCCCTCCTGGGCAGTGTAGTGCCTCCTCTCCCCTCCTCCCCTCCCCAGTGCTTCCCTTCTAACCCCTGGCCCCTGGAAAGAGGGATGCTTATCATGTTTAAGGAACTCATTGCCTCTACCCTACCTTAGCGCTTCACTTGATCTTCAAGTAGCAAATGGAATTGGTGAGCTATTCTCACCAGTGACATGGATAGCCTGTCCCAGCATGACTGAGTGGGGGGGAATCAGGGAAGGGGGAATTAACATATATTTGGAAACAGCGCATCTGATGACTGTGTCTGTGTGAATTCCCAAAGAAAAAAATCCAGATTAAGGAGAATTAATCATAAAGGAGAATGGTTTATTGAAATAGTTGCTTAAGTTAGAAATATGTTATACTTTCATATACCTGTTGAACACAGAATCTAGGCAATTTAACAAGCTTAGCTTTCATTTTAGCAGATTACAATCAAGCATAAGCTGGCCCAATTTAATAGGACCACTACTTACTCATCAAAGTTATATTGAGTCAGTGTGGCTATAGACCCCATGAACTCAAATGTAAATTCAGGCTGGTCCAAAGGCGGGCAGCATGATAAAACCGTAAGGGGACAGCCACGTGCAGGGTCTGGCTTGGTGCCAGGATCCCCCATCTCAGACAGGCTCCCTGGCTTCCCTTTCTGGCCATTAGGGATGCCAGAGCTGTCCTGAGACCGGTAGAATGCTTTACAACCAAATCCTGGCGACTGATTCATATCAATTTTTTGAAATGTTATTTAAAATCTTACCTCATCAAAATATTTTACGATGTATTTGTAAATTTCTGTCAAGGCCACTTCTTCATTAAATTCATTTTCATGTTTCTTAAAGAAAGAAAGCCTTGTTGAGAGATTCTGAAATGACTTTTCAAGACAGAAGTAACAAATGTTATCTTATTTCTACTTTCTAGCAATACCTTAGATTCCTGAGTTAAGAATTCTTCCATTTCCGAAGATGACAATGGAGGCAAATCCCTGATTGCTTTGTAATAAGATTTTACTTCCTCTTTGTAGGTTGGGATATCCTTGGCATAGAGAAGTTTATTAGTTGGTGCTTCCTACAAAAACAAAAACAAGCATCCATGGCCAGGAGTAAAACACCATGGGGAATTTATAATAGTAACAATGTAGCTGAACCTCCAGCACTATCACCACCTCCTAGTAACCAAGCTTTTTCATGCAGTGGGCCTTCATCAGTGTTGTTGATTGAATGACTGACTGCTATCCAGATAGTTCTGGTGAGTCACTGTTCTTTTCAGGCGAATTAAATGCTAATATATTCTGCCTTCCTCTCATAAAAGAGCTAAAATTATTATTTTTGCATGATTTTGAGTTACTGTAACAACGGAACTTATTTCAGTCATAGTTCATTACTAATGGTTGTAAAAAGCCTGAATTAAAACATTTGCTCTCATCTTCACCCACCAGTGAATTTTGGCATTTATAAAAGACTTGATTGTAGGTCTGATTGAGCCCTTTATGTAACAATGAAAGTGGTAAGTAGTTGGCGGTGGTGGATTTTTCTGCTTATCCCTTTTATTAGATTATAAAGCTCTTCTAGCATTCTCAAGGAAGTACATGGTCATTAGTGCTGGGGGCCCTGATGTCTGACTTCACAAAAGTTCCCTGTCAGTTTGAATGTTTTTATGTAATAGCTGTAATATAAAAAATTGAGGGAAAAGTTTAAAAATTCCTACTCAGGGACGATAGCTGAGTTAATGATAGGGCTAATGTCCCAGTACATTTTTAAATGTATTGAGGACATGAATAGCCATATCAATGGCTGAATCATTTTGAAGGATGCTGACACTGAGATATTACAGAGATTTTTTTGCACTTTTCAAGTTTAAGTGAAACCCACAAATCCTGTGATCATTCATTCAGTAAATGTATTTAGCTAGGCACTGTGGCAGGCACTGAATGTAAAGAGTCAAAGACGACCAGTACTTGCCCTTAAGAAGCTTCTAATCTACTTGGGAAGACAAACTTAACACAGTGCTTACTGTGATACCAGTAATTAGTAGCAGAGTATAAAGAAAAGCGCTGTGGAGTTGGACAAATCAGGGATCATCACCAAGACTTGTGGCCTCCCAGAACTGATGTTCTGATTTCCTCATCTATAAAATGAGGGTAATAATAACTACCAAGGACATAGTAATCACAAGAACCACATAAGGTATAGTTCAGCTAGTCAGTTAACCATTTTTTACTGTGAATAAATTAAGCATTTTAGTGTCTTCCAGTGTGTTTTTGTTGCATTGGTCAAATGAAGAAAGGGCATGGGAAATGGAGCTGGAAAGTTCACAAAGCAGGTATATTTAGACTGATCATAGGCTCCTATAGTTTTTGGTACACATTAAGAAGTCAGGTTTGTTGAAGGAATGAATGAATAAGTAGGGTGTTACTAGAAGAGAGGGGTTATGAGACAGGAAAGGGATACGAAAACACGTTCATGGTAAGTTTGGGAAAGGTAAAGCTGTAGCGTAGAAGGTATATGGAATTTGCAAGAAAATGAGGCGGCCAGAAAAGAGACCTGAAGCCCAATTAGGAAGGGCCGTGTGGTACTGGGAAGATTTCACCTGGCAGGTAATGGGAAGTATTTATAATTTTTAAGCAGGAGACAGACAAGATCAGATTTAAGCTTTAGATAATCTGAGACACAGTGAAAACAAAAAGACAGCACAGGCAAGGAGACCAGTTCCGAGGCAGTTATATGGGTGGAGAGGGGCTGAAGGGATAGGGCCAAAGAATGAGAAAAAAGACATTTTGGAGATGGCAGTGGGCAGTAACCAATTAGGGGAAGGGAGGAAGAAGAAGGCGTTGAAGATAATGGGAAGGAGTTTACCTTGAGAGACCAGGCGATGCTAGGAAGACAAAAGTAAAGACAGGTGTGTTTTGCAGAAATCGTGGTGAGGGTGAGTTTAGATTCAGACTAGGAAGCTGAGGCACCTGTGAAACATCAACCACATTTTGCCCCAGGCACTCTCTCAAATTCCATATACCAAGGAGACACTGCTCAGCACTGAAAGACTGCCTGAAATCCATTCGGTACAGATACTGCTCAGTTTAATACATTTGGAGTGCTCGAATAAGACCAAAACATCCCTTTCAGAGTTTGCTCTGTATTTTTATCTTTCTTTGCTTTCCTGAGGCTTTTGCTCAGCAAAGAAAACCGTAGGAAAAACAATATTGATGTTTTGATTATGAATTGACAAACTGGTGGTGGTAGAAATCTCAGGCAAGATTTTCTTACCCATGAGCAATTTGTTATATTCAGATAGACTCTTAGGTGTACAGCTGATCCTTGAACAACACGGTGTTGAACTATGTGGGTCGGCTCTTACTCTACGTGGAGTTTTTTCAATATAGTACAGAACTGTAAATATGTCTTCTCTTACAATTTCCTGAACGTTTCTTTTCTCTAGTTTATTTAAGAATACAGTATATAGCACATATTACATGTACAAAATACATGTTATTTTGACTTTCTATTAGTAGTAAGGCTTCCAGTCCACAGTAGGCTATTAATAGTTAAGTCTTGGGGAAGCCAAAAGTTACAGATGATTTGTAAGTACATGGAGGGTTGGCACCCATAATCCTCCATTATTCAAGGATCAGCTGTATTCAGATGGGATTAATTTAGCTAAGCAAATTTCTGTAGTTTCACTTTGGGTTTATAGTTTATAATTTGTGGTAAAGGTATTTACAGGCACAGTTTTGCAGTAGAAAGGGGATAATAGTCTATTTTGGTATTCATTAAAAAAAAACTAGATTAAAGTAAATGGGACAGCTTTTAAAGAGAAGCAGATCTTCAGTGACTACCATGGACTATTTCTTTTTAGCTGCTGTGGTTCAGACCAATTGTTTAGAAGAAAGAATGCTTCAGACTCACAGGATGACATGTTAAGAGATACTAAAACCAGGCCTTACCTTCCCGAGTTGCTGCTCTGTGAGAGAAAATGCGTCCATGAAGGCCTGGGCAATCACAGATAAACAGCCGTCTATGTGTGGTGTCTTCTTAATGTCAAAGACAAACTGAGGGTTCTTCAGGATGTTTACCCAGAAGCGAAGAGGAAGGCTGTTCCGAGACAGAAATCTCTTTTCAAGTATAGCCCTTCGTAGGAGGCGGATGCTCTGTTTATCACAGTTTGCATACGGACGTTTTTGCCCTTGTTATTGAAGTATGCAAGTCTGCTTTGCCAAATATACCAAGCAACAGATGGCAGCACCACTCAGCACAAGAAAGGGTTAACCTGACAAGCGCCACTGAAGGGAGGACTAGAACGGGAGAAATTCAAAGGTGGCCATTGACGAGAATTTTCTCCCGATAGTGCTATTATAGCAGGCGACGGTTGCCCATGAAAACGTTTCATCACGTGTCTGGAACCTGACCTCTTCTCACCCCCTCTAAGTGCCACACCCTGGCCTAAGCCGCCTGCATTATTAGCCCCCAGCTCTCAGTTGTCCCCCAGCTCTCAGCTGTCAGCCTCAGTTGTCCCACAACTATCAGCAATCTTAACACAGAGTCAGATCAGGTCTCTCTCCTCTGCTCAGAACCCTCTGTGCTCTCCATCCCCCTCGGGATAAAGCCCCTGCGTGATCTGGGCCTGGGTCCTCATCTGTTACTCTTCATCTTTTTCATTCCAACCCACCGTGGGCCTCTTGGCTGGTCTTCATGCATCCCAGGCAAGGCTGCACCTCAGGACTTCTGCCCATCTTCCAGAAACTGCCTTTAGCCAGACAGTCTCAAGGTGTATGCCCTCACCTCTTTCAAGACCTGACTCAAATGTCATCATCTCCTTGAGGCCTTCTCTGACCACTGTTCTGTTACTCTCTATCCTTCTTTTCTGCTTTGTCCACTGTACTAACCTTCTAATATACTACTAATTTACCTATTTATCATCTCTTCCACCCATTAGAATGCAAGCTGAGAACAGGGATTTTTGTTCAGTTTACTGTTGCATCTCCAGCACCTAACAGTGCTTGGCATATAGTAGGTACTCAGATACTTGAATATGAACTTGGGAATCATTCAGAGTCCTTCCATTATCTCAACTCTGGCCTAGCAAATTACCTCCATCATAAGGATGCTGGGCCTCTCCTCAGCTCTACTGTCCTGGCTAATGCCCCTGCTCAGATGCCACCCTCTTCACAGTGAAAAGGGGAGCCTACAGCAGCAGCACCTGGGATTAAGAGGCTAGAGCACAGGATGGGAGGGAGCCAGGGTAGATGCTGGGACAGACCCGGATTCAGTGGGAGAAGATGAGACCTAGAGCTCTGGCACTTCAGCTTGTAATACTTCCTTAAAATGGTCTGTGGACCCTCAGTGTTCGGGAGGGCTTCTGATTGTGCCGGAAAGTTCTATCATGTCTTAACACCGAGTCTTACTCAGTTCATACACAGAACATTTCAAATAGAGGTAATGAGCTGTTTCTTTACCGAGGAGAAATTTAGAACAAACCTGGATGCCTTACCAGGCAACCAGGTAAAACGTTAGAAAACAAAACAGTCCTTTGGCTAATTCTCATGATGTCTGAGTACTGCACTTGCTCAAATAAAAGCAGAAATGTCTATGTAGAATCAGAATTCAGACAGTTTGGTAACTGCAAAGGGATTAAGTATTCTCTAATGGAAAATTATATAATAAAACCACAAAATACTAATTTCTCATCTTTTGCGGGTCAGGTTAACATTCCTTACAAGGTCTTTTTCATGCGTTAAAGATAAGGTTTGTTTATGTTATCCTAAAGGATAGGATCACAGCATAGGAAAGGTTTTGTTCTTGTTAAAAAATAGTAACAGAGGACGAATCTGCTTTGACATGATAGCTTACCAAGCCAAAAGATTCTGATCTAGGGATAATGAATCCTTCTGTAACTATCCATGCCCTCCTTTTGAAAACAGTCAGTAATCACATACTGTTTGTTCCCACCTGTTTGTTTTCCAAATATGTACGACATCAGGATCTGTGATTTTTTTGTTTTCAGCCTGGGCATCCAAAAAGTCAAAAAAGTATTTTATAGCAAATGGGGCCCTGCTGTTGGGTAAGCTCCAAATGCTTCTAAAAAGTTTTTCAAGCACAGAATGAATTGCCACCTGAAAGAGAGCATCAGACGTGGGAGATTTAAAAAATAGGGTAGCAGTTTTGAATACAATAGAAAATGAAATGCCAGTTCAGAGAAAATGATGTACAAAACAGAAAAAAAAACCTGAAGAGAAAATATGTAAAATTATCAAATGAGGCCAACACTCCATGTGGGTCAAGCATCCTGAAAATCCATGCCCAGGTTTAGGTTTAGTCAACAATGAGGGTATCGTAGAAGTCTCCAGCAGTTGAAATATCAGTTGTAGGGCTACGTGCATAGATCAAGAAGCCATGGATGTTTAGCTTTTATTAGTTATGTTCAGCCTAGAAAAACTCAATGTTGCTCAGTTCCCAGAATTGTTCCTGTTGCATGTATTTCCATCAGAGGTTTTTATTCTCTACTTTCCAAAGCATCTGAGTGTTTTGCAAAAGACAAATAGGCAGATCTCTGTGGGACGGATGAGAAAATCAAGAGGCTCTGGCTGTCCTTTAGTCACTAAACAAATTTACTGAGCTCTCAGCATACCCTCTGCTATAATCTGAAGAAGCATTGCCCATCAGGAGACCAGGGCCAGGTGTAGATAATAGCATTTATATTGCTAGTCATTTCAGGGGGGAAAAAAAAGGATCAGCACAGACTTCTGTTAATCTCACTAAAAGCCAGATAAAGTAAAATTTGCTTCTGATTTGGTATTCCAACAGCTTTCACATCTGACACTTTTACATGTGAACAGAATTCTTTACTTTAAAGTGGAAAAATAAGAAAAGATTTAGTAGGTTTGCCGTCACTGACCCCACCCTTCATTTTATTTGCAATTCAAAGGGAGTTTTATTGCTCCTCTATAAGAACAAATAAAAACGAATAATTACACCGTGAACCGAAAAAACAACAATAGTGAAATGGTGGGTAAAGGACTGGGAACAATATTAAATCCCTGATTGAAGATACTACAGCCAAAATTTGTAAAGTGCCATTATCTTTGCAGTTTCTAAAAAGAAGAGGAGGGTAGGAAGTGTTTACCATTTAAACTTTCATTTTGCTTTGCTAGAAGGCACAAGGGATTTGTAACATTTTCACACTTCAGTGGAAATTAAGTCAAACACATCATACACCCCCAAGGTAGCCATAAAAGCACTCCCAGAACAGTTAAGTGTACCTTGGTCGACAGCAGCTTTGTCAGATACATTTCTTTTACTTTGAACTTGTGCTTCCCTCGATGTCTCTTTCCTTGCACATCTTGGAATGCTTCCGAATCTGGTAAAATCTAAAGGGAAGACAGACTAGAAGCGTTACCCAAGGAGACCGTTCATGCTACAGAAGGCATCCAGTTCAGCGGCAAGCACAAGAAAGACTGAACTCACCAAATGGCAGTGGTCTTCTGAGTATTCCACATCTGAATGCCAGAGAAAGGGGGAGAAAACAGTCTATTAAAAAAACAACCACGGGCTAATTGGCCCTCTCATAAAATGCCCCATTTGTGCTATAAACAGAAGAGGTTACTTGAGCTCTTCACAGCTATTTTTTTTTTTTTTTTTTACCCTGTTGCATCTTAAGATCTTAACAACGTGAAGACCAAACGGGCCAGGGAGTAGGAAGCAGGTTCCCTATTCCTGGAAGTATTAAAACAGGCTGAATGATCCTTCGTTGGGTGAGTAGGAGAGGTTCAAGCCCCACTCATGAACAAATGTACCTGGGGGCATCTACTGAGTGCCAGGGGCTCCTAGGCAAAAGGCAATCTTAACACAGACCTAGTTACCCCCCCCCACCCCAGTGGAATTTACATCCTAGCCAATGAGAGACTTCATACTATTAATTATACAATTATTTAACTACAACTGTGATAAGGCTCCTGAAGAAGTATATGCTAAGAAAGTAACTGACAAAGGCCGGCCCTACTCTGGGAGGTCTTTCAGGGGAAGGGGTGTTGGAGCTGAACCTAAATGAATGACTAGTTAGCCAGGCAAATGGAAGAAGGGGAATGGGTGCAAAGACCCTAAGGTGGAAGGAACGTGACCCCTCCTAGGATCTGAAAGAAGGGCAATGAGTTGGGAGTTTATAGAGCAAGTGTGACAGTGACACAGGGTGAGGACAGTCCTGAAAGAAATGTAGTAAAGGGAATGGTAAACGGAAAAGAAGGATCAAGGGACTAGGTTTTTTTGTTTTGAAGATGAAGGAGACTAGAATACCTTGAAACACTAACAAAAGCTGTAGTAAGTGGGGAGGTATAGAAAATTTAGGTGAGAGAAGATTGTCTGTGGTGTAAGAATGCTTGGAAGGTTGGAAATGATGGGATTGAAGACACAGGTGAGAGACTGGCCTTGGATAAGAGGAAGGAAATCCTGGAATGCTGGTGGGGGTGGGAAGGAGCACAGGAAGAAATGGGCAGATGCAGGTAGGGTGGTAGGTTTGGTGCTAGATGTTGATGGAGTTCTGATTCCTGTTTTCTCTGCGACGTACAGGATCAAGTCTGCTGCCGATAGAGCCGTGTAGGTCAGAGCTTTGAGGAGAGAAGGCAGAATTCTGGAGAACACAGAGTGAGTTACCTAGAGAAATTTAGTGGGTGTAGGCTGCATTGAGGGTCCCAGTCATGTTGGGCACCATGAAATTATAGTGACTCCAAGCTATGCTGTTGTGTGCCTTCCTCCAGTGGCTGCCTGGATATAGGTTTAGGAAAGGCTAGTATTGGGTTCATCCAGGGCTGGGACATGACAGAGAGGGTAGTAAATAGGGGACAGGGACAGGAGAAGGTGAAGGGTTAGGAGGAGAGTGATCAAAATAATGGCTCTCAGCTGACCTGGACAGGGAAGAAACAGAGACGTTGACTGCCTTGAGGTCCCATGAAGAGATCCAAATGTGAGATCCCTGATCTTTGAAGCTTAAAATACAAAGTTCTGCTTTTTTATAACACAAGGACACCAATTCCCTACGCCAGAGTGGCGGCCACCTCTGCAAGATGGCTTCTGTCACTAAATAGCCAGATCTAATGATGGACTGTGAGGTTCCTCACAGGGGTTTCCTACAACCTACCAAATTATCCTTTCTATTTAATTGGGGGCCCTGCATTCTCTGTTTGTACTGACCAGGTATTGGGACCTATGAGGCCGCTCCTAGTATTGAATCTAGGAATCAGGAAGCCTCCCCTCCAGTTATATGTGTGAAAAGTGCTGTTGGTGAGGCCCAGAAACTTTCCAAGGGCTGGGGACAGAGTGTCTTAGCTGGGGTATCCTTTCTCTGGAGACAAACCTAGACTGGGATTTAGGGAATTTCTCAATTCCCTTCCTTCCTTTCCTGAGACCATCAGGGAGGTGGGTAGAGAGTTTAGAGGCTAGCCCATTGACTTTCCCATAAAAGCTCCCCATTTAGTTTGTCTCACTCCGCTTTCTGGGAATTTTGCAGCTGCTATCGCAAGGAGATTTGGATTTCTAAGTGGATTATCTTGTTTGTTCAGTGCTTGCAGGGCTGTGTGATTATCTACCGGCTTCCCTCTCAGTTTGCCAGAGGGGTCGTCTTCTCTGTTAGCCCCCATCCTACTGAGGAGTTGGAACAGAGCGAGGAAGGCTGAGATTCTGCCCTGAGTTCAGGGCTGTCAAGAGGCAGCAGCTTCCTTTCTGCTGGGCAGTCCGGCCAACTGCTATTTACTGGTTCCTGTCCTCTTTTTTGCAAAGCTCACGTTCTTAGGAATAGAAACAGATCAAAATGGCTTTTCTCCAATTTCAGAGAATTACATAGAAACAACTCAATCTCACTTTTGTGACAATACATCTGAAAGAGGCAAAAAACAATACTTTATATAAAAGTGGGTGAGAACAAAAGGTTAACATTATATCGGTTACCTGTAGTAAAATTTGCTATCTTCTTAAAGACTTTTATAGTGGATCCATTTGATATCTGAAAGCAAAGATAAAAAATATATGAGTTTTCAAAATTTAATACATTTCTCAACTTCATCCAGGAATTAGATGGCTGGCTGGATCTTGGCATTGTCTCATTTATTAAATATTTATCAAGAACTTCTATGTGCTGGAAGTTGGAGCTATAATGGTGATGAAGACACTGTCTCTGCCCTCAAGGAGCTCACAGTCCTGTGAAGGACATAGACAAGGCAGTGAGATGCAGTGAGGCTGGAAGAGGGGGGGCCAACACACCATAGGGCTAATGGGAGGTGGGCCAGCCCGGGCAGAGGGGAAGACAAGGCTGTGTTAGGAAGTATCCCAGCGTCTCAGAGGTCAAAAGAGGCTTGGGCCACTATGTTTTTGAGGTTCCTACTGTATTCAGAAATGCTGAAACAGGTGTTCAAAGCTGTGTCAGCTAGAGCTGGTGTTTACCGTATCACAGAGCAATTTCACATCCGGGTATATATCCAACAGAAATAAGTGCATATCCTGATAGCAAACTATATGCGATTGCCCCATACTGGAAACAACCACACATCATCAATGAATAAATAATTTGGGGTATGTCCATACAATAGAATATAAAGAGGTGAAAAATGAGCAAATTACTGCTCCACTGCTCACAGTGGTAAGGTGCAAAGAAGCCCAACACAGAGGAATACATACTATGTGATTCCAATCACGTAAAGCTAAAACAAACACAAAAACAGTCAAACTATGATGTTAGATGTTTGGACAAGAGAGCGGGGTTAGTGATTGGGAGGGGCCTGGAGGGGGCTTCTGAGGTACCCATAATGCTCTCTCTTGACCTGAGTTGTAGTTACAGGGTGTGCTCACTTTCTGATAATTCATCCACTAGTACACTTATGATTTGTTCTCTTTTCTGCAGGAATATCGTATTTTTAAAAAGCTTGCAAAATCATAAAAATTGCATATACTTTTAAATAAAAACTTTGCAATTAAGTATAACTTATAGGAAAGCACTTCACATTCACTAATATTAAGTATACAGCTTAATAAATGTTAAGTATACACCTGTGTAACCACTACTCACGTGAGGATAAAAATTGTATTTCAAGGTCCTACGAAGTACCCGTTATCCCCTCCCAGTCAATAACCACCCCATCCTCAGCCAGAGATAACCACTATTCTGACTTCCATCTGTTCTTGAACATCATATAAATGGAATTATATAGTACAGCTAACCCTTGAACAACATGGGGGTTAGGGGTACCCGCCCCCTGCACAGTTGAAACTCCACATATAACCTTTGATTCCCCCAAAACTTAACTGCCTACTGTTGACAGGAAGCCTTACCAATAAGTCAATTAATACGTATCTTGTATGTTGTATGTATTACATACTGTATCCTTATAAGGCTAGAGAAAAAAGTATTAAAATCGTAAGAGAAGATACACTGACAGCACTGTACTGTATTTACTGGAAAATATCTGCATGTAAGTGGGCCTGCACCATTCAAACCTGCATTGTTCAAGGGTCAACTACGAGTGTGTGTGTGTGTGTGTATAGGTCTGGCTTCCTGGGGTCATCTTAAGGTCTGTGATGTGTATCCACACTGTTGCAGCTACAAGCAATTCAGTCGTTTTAAAATGACTTTGTATTATTGTGTGAATATATTACAAAAAACTGCCATACACTAAAGACAGAAGTATTGACATGCTACAACATGAACCTCAAAAACATTATACTAGGTGAAAGCCAGCCACAAAAGACCACATGTTGTATGATCCCATTTAGATAAAATGTCCAGAACAGATTTATGCACACAGAAAGTAGATTACTAGCTGCCTAAAGCAGGGGTCAGAAGAATGAGGAGTGACTGCTAATGAATTCAAGGTTTCTTTTGGGGGTGATGAAAATGTTCTAAAATTAGATTGTGGTGATGACTACACAACTCTGCAAATGCACCAAAAACCATTGCATTGTACATTTTAAAAGGTGACCTTTATGGTATATAAATTATATCTCAATAGAGCTGCTAAAAAATTGCCACAGATTTTAAATGTACACAATTTGACAAATAAATGCCTTTACCACACTGACCCACTACTGCAAGGCCCGTGCATACCCTCTTTTGTCTATCAAGTCAGGAGTTCTCACCTGAGGCCTTTCGGGACTATGGAAGCCAAGGCCGGATGGCCCTCCAGCGCGGCCCTCCCCCACAACCGACTGGGGCAAGAAGCATCCTTGAGGCTAAGGGGACTGGGTGCTAAGAAGCAGGGGGCAGGCCTCACTTCTTGTGAGGAGTAAATTATTCTGAGAGGCTAGTCCACAAAAATGTAAGACAAAGGAACCCTGAAGAGAGGCAAGTCAAGGATACACAAATCTTTGCCTTCATTCTGGGACTATGGAGGGAGGATTAACCCTGTCTTTTCAGAACATGGTCAGCTGAGTGCTTTTTCCCTCCACTCTGAAGTCCTCAGTCTGGTCTGAATTCTAATACTACTTTGGACCTAGCCTTCCTCCATTTGGAAAAAAGTAGAAACCTAGAATTTCTCTTCTGGCCTGCTGCGCATTGGTTATCAGAGTGTACCAACCTGCTTAGAAAGCGCCAAAGGATTAAGGTCTAATCTTCAGGTTGCACCCACAGAGGAGGGAACACGGGGCGAGAGCCAGCCCTGCAGAGGCCCTGAGCACAGCCGTCCAGCCAGCTGTGTCTAGCCAGCTGCTAAGTTTAGACCAGAGGCCTCCAACTGCTGGTGTTCACATCTTGCAGGGAGGGGGAACGCTGGGCAGAGGCTGGCTGGGCCATCAGGTCTCTGAAAAGTGTCTCCAGCTTGGACTCTTATTGAATTCTTCGACCCTGCTGTTATTACCAAACCTCCTCCTCTTTCCCCTTGAGCCATTCATTGTTTTCTGGCTGCTTTTTCCATTCTCCTCCACATTTGATGCAATTAAAGTAAACACTCTGTGCAGGCACCCTCTTAGCAACACTCAGACACCAAGTTTATGAGAGTGTTTGAACATAGTTCTAAAATTCCTCCCCACGAAGAGCTGGATATGCTCTGTTTCTAAGCCAATAAATATCTTTTTATAAAAGGAAGCTGGTGATTCATTCTGGGTAATTGTCAAAGAATGAATCCCAAATGGATCCTGTTGAGTGTTGAGCCAATACTCCACTACCGTCAGACGCTTTGTTTTGCTAAACGTGAGCACCCTTACCCTATAATCACAAACACCACGGATGGGCTTTCCGATAAGCAGCCCTGCCAAAGGTTCAAATGTCTTTTCAAGAGCTGGCAAGGACTCACTGCTGGCACTGTGCTCAGGCATTAAGATAGCGCACACGCAGCTTGTACCACGGAAATTTTATTCTGAAATTATCTCCCGAGAGCAAGTGTAAAAGCATTTTATTAGTGGTTGAGTTGTGTGTGTGTCCGAGCATGTGTGTGTGAGTGTATTTCTAACTTTCACAGCTGCTCTGGGGCTGGAACATTTCCCCCCACGTGACACTTTAACACCATCGTAAGACAGAAACTAGTTCACTTACAGATGTTTGGTGGGGGGATAAGGTTTCCATTTTCTATTTTGCACAAGTCAGCTGCTGCTGAGTTAAGGACAGAAATGCCGTTTTGAAAAGTGCCACAGAATCTAAAGTGTTAAAAATATGATACTGTTTGTTCCATCTGAGGAGCTCCAAATGCTTTCCTGAGAGTGACTCATT